TATGAAAATTCCTTTTATGGCACCTTTTCAGGGTAATGATGTGGACAAAACTGAGAAATCAAACAAAAACCAAATGAAGGGGAAGCCTTTTGGTTCTAAAAAGGATCTAGTGAAGTTCAAAGAAAATGACCATAGACCTTGCTTAGTCTGTGATTAGTCGGGACACTATGCTCTGGGTTTTAGGCACAACAAGACACCAAAAGATTATGCCAAAGTAAATTATGTTGAAAATGAAGATGTTGGCATTTCAATAAGCAACAAATACAATGAAATACAAAGCAAAGTTCTGCATGGTGGTATGGCATTTGCGCCACTATTCATGTTTGTTATCATTGATCCCTTTTAATAACGTATCATGACGTCATTGATGAATTGCGTGTACTGGTACTGAATTTTTATGATAACAAGTCAAAGTTTAACGTGCATTTTATGTTATTTTAAAATGATTTATAAATGTTGTAAAAGTAATGTTTGATACTTATTTGTTGAGAGGATTTCATATAGTGACTCAATTTTTTTGTGATAATGAACTACTATAAATGGACAATTTTTTTATATTACATTTCGTACATAAGAATTAGTTTCTAAAACATGAATGTAACCCTAAATTTATCTTTAATAACCCTAAATTCATGTAGATCAAGTTTTATCAAATTTATGTATTAGAATGGAAATATAAGAGAAGAAAATTGTATTCTCAAAACTCAACCCCTCCCCCCTTTTTTTAATATACTACGAATGAGCAATATTTTCATTCTACATTTGGCACATAAGAATTAACTGCTATTACAGAAATTTAAATACCCATAAAATTTTCTAAATATATGAATAGAAATAAATTTATCTATAATATAAATTCATTTATATCAAGATCCATCAAATCAAGATTAATTTAAATGTTAATTAATTGAGAATTAATAACATGAAATTCATGTATGAAGAGAATTTTGTAGAATTTATTATATATTTAAAAACGAAAAGTAAAATATTAATGAAATAATTCAATTGTAATAGGGTTAAAGTTGTTCACAAATGATTCTCATTTGGTGATATATTTTAATATGTTAATGATTTTATAATGTTGAGTATTCTTCCCTTACTAAAGTGGTAACTAATGTTTCTAACTTTTAAAACAAGTCACTAGCGTGGAAAACATCGATGACTTAGTAATCTCCAATCAATTAATTTGCGTCTGTTTATTAATGGTTCAGACACCTATCATGGTTTTTTACATCTAGACTATAATCGTAACCCCAATGAAACTAACCTGCTTACCATAATCCATGTAGATCATCAATGAGACACATACAAATTCTCATAATAAACAAAATATGTTTAGCATATCAACTCTCTTCTACAAATATTATTACTATTCTTATTCCTCGAATTTGATCATTACTATTTCTTATCTGACCTATGTATCGATTACTATTATATTATCCAGTTCTAATGCATTAAACACTTCTTAATAGGTAACCACTGGTGCATTTGACACTTAAAAACCAATTCAGTTAAATGTTTCCACCAAAAAATTTATAACCAATACATGGTTTACTACATTTTAGTGCACTCTCTAGCACAGAACTCTACTCATCTGGGCGACAATTGTACCAAAAAAATAGATAAAAGATGGGGAACTAACACCCCCATCAAGC